CCACATTCCAAAATCTGTCCAATAATGCTCATTCAGATTACCTCAGATCTTCATCTTATATCGAGGTCTGCTCTATGCAAAATGAAATAATGGATTGAAACCTTGCCCGGTGATGTCCTACCAACAATCACATTGACCCACCAGCATTTCTTGACAGACCTGGGTAGGTAGGCCATATGGGCAAGGCCCACATGTCTGTGACCAACAAAACAACAAAGCTTTTGATCATGAGGGTAGCTATGGGACTGAAATTAATGGTTGAACCACATGGACGTGAAGCACTTTCTACCATATGAACAAAAAGGATTATTCACCCACAGAACGATGTTGCAGCACATTCACTAAATCCTGTAAACCATACGTTGTTGATTTTAGAAGCATTAAACAGGCACGAGCACCTGTTAGCTGCTCACAAACAAAAGAAATACCACAAAGCTTCAGCCTCTGTTTCACACCTTAGAGAAGATGCTTGATTCTTGTGAGATATTATGTTATCATTCTCTTACAGACATCAGAGAAAAACAGGTCATCGGTATCAACAATGAATTCTCTCCTTTCCTCAAACAAATGTCATTTGATTAGAAGCCCCAGTAAAAATCCGTATGCACATTTCCCTGGTGTCAAAACTCTACAACAAAATCTCCGTTATGCTGAGCCGCACAATCATCTTCAATGCAATACTGCAGAACCATTTGTGTTATTCATGCAAGAGTCACACAAAATTGAACAATTCTATTTTGGACAAGATTGTGAAGTATTATCTAAGCAATTGTGTGGTGTTACAGATTGTAAGGGGGCAGGTGTTGGCTGACAGTGGATAGGGACTCGACATGTCCTGACACAGATGATCGATAGCTTAGTAAATAACTGTTTCCGTAAAAGTCGTAGTAAGCAACGAAAGTGTTTTGGGTAGAAAATGCGCCAAGAATCACGAAGCGTGTCACTGGTTTCAACTGATTTGATTTGTTTCATTTATTGTCAAATGTATTTTGATACTAAATATGGTGTGAAGTGTTATATCGTGTCGCCACTCTCCAGCGCCATCTTAAAACACAGAAAAATAAACCAAAACATAGAATATAAAGGCAGAAAAATAAAGAAATGAAGAAAGATAAAAATAAGTAAAGAAAAAGGAAATTATTCCAAAAGCATAACTTTCACTCATTACCTGGTTGATAGCAAGAGACAGCTACAAAAGATAATGACATATAATGCGAATAAGAACATTACCTTGACAAATCACTCCTGTACCTTTTACCTTTTGGTCCAAACAAGTCATGTGGAAATTCTGCAAAACTGTGCTAATGCACCCTGCATTACAAGGCTTCATTAGGTTTCCTCAGAGGATGATAGGAAACACAAAAATATTCTGAATCAGACTGATGAGCCTTCATGAAACGGATCATAAACAACTGTGTCTCACTCCAAATATAAAGGACATGGTTCACACGATGGAAACTGGACTTTCCTTCACCATATGCACGACATGCCTTCATAACAGTAAGTTACTACTGCATTATTACAGAATGTAATGAAACCAAGGCACCAAACTATCCTTCACCTCACATAAATTAACACCGTTTCTTAGGTGGTAAAGTTTTTCACAACTATCAAACTCAAATAATCATTTTGATAACTTTTCATGACCTAATTTTATCATCTGGCAAAAGAAGATTGACTCTTCTCCTTAAATAAGGTTCGCAGGTCATAACCATGGAGTTGGGAGATTTGAGTTTCAGCCTGAATGTTGACATTTACAACTGCCAGCTCGTTCAGTGATTTAACCACATCTGCCTGGCTCAACATTACCCAATATAACTCCTCAACGAATACAAAATGTATTCCTAGCACACATCTTGCATTAATACTCCATTCAAAGTTGGAAATGTAACCCCTAATGGTGTAATAAGCGTTCAATGATTTCCAACCAGCCTCTTCTGTCCTGAATGCGAATAAAACTGCCAATCTTTCAGTTTGAGAGTCAGTTTTTGAAATTTTGTAAACAATCAGATTCAACATTTAAATGATCTTTTTCTCTTACTTCTTCCCCTTCTCTAATCAATCACCCTTTCAATCCTTGTGTTTCTGCATTTGATTTCTAATTCATCTTCTTTCTTAATCATTCTCCTTCATTTCCAAGTCCCTTCAATTGAGGAGATGTGTTGTTTGTTGCACTGATAACTAAGGTTTCAGATGCACTGCTACCCTGACTGTGCTGTTATGAGCTCACACGCCGAGAAACCATGCAGGCAAAACATGTTAAAACCTAAAACACCACAAAAAGTCAAACTGGGAGGACACATTACGAGATGCGTGAATTCAGTTCCAATTAATACAAAGTCATATCTAGCCCATATATTTTTGGGAATAATTCCAGAGTTTCTCAACACTGCAGTCAGCAAACTCTGCAAATAAAAAGGTGCACACATCTTTAATCAGGATGATGGATCTGCACTTAGTTTCACAACTCAGCAACAGAGTACAGCAGGGGAACAAACAAATATCATTTAAGCAATAGCTTTAATTCAGGTTTACGTAGGTTACAATTTAAGCTACTGCCTTATTTAAATGTCAGTACCAGTTTGCAGTGGGCAATCCTAAGTTTGACTGACAATGCCTTCAATGTTTAGAACATTAAAAATCAGCAAAAGATTCAACTTGACCACAGAATAAATCTACCAACTAATCATCAACCTGTGACCAATTGATGCACCAAGAATTCTAGAATTCACGTTATCACTCAACTGAGCAGGCAATAGAGGATAACTTTCCATTAGACCTGTAAGGACTTGGTAGTGTGCTAAAACAAAGACCACTGTCAGCTCAGAGATACATTCTGACAAAAAAAAAACACATATATCCCAGAAATCATCAAGGATAAACAATGCAAGCCATAGCGGCAGGTATATTTAACTTTCAGATTAATAAAGCAACAAATACATATTAACTGATGCTAAAGATCTAGAAGAATTGGTGCTGTATTCTTAAATGCATCCATTATTCATAAATAGATCTTTCTCATTAACTTCTCATTCTTGTTACTTTAGATTATGTCTTGTAACATGCAACTTTAATCTTATATATATCATTATCATCTAAGATGAATTTCTGAGAACACAACTTCCTGAATAATTGTGACTTTCAACCTACTCATCCACACCTCCTCTGCCCCACAATCATCTTTAATGTGTCACAGGCTTCATTTCGTACCAACCAAACACTCAGAGAATGGCACCAGTTGTCTTCACATCTCCACAAGAATTTACTAAGGATAACCAAGTTTAGAAGAATACAGTCTATCAAGTCAAAGTGCATTGTTCCATTATGGGACTAAAAAGCTTGGAAATTAGTTCAGTGATCACAACTAGGAGACGTTCAACAGTGAATAACAAGGAACATAGCCAGATGCACACAACTCTGTATTGAGACTTCTCTTAACTTAATGGATGTAAGTGCTGCATAATCCAGGCTCCATGGAGAACACCTCTAAGACCAGCGGAGATTTGTTTATTCCAGACAGCATTGGGGATGGCAGTATAACAAGGAGCAGTCAGGTTACATTGTAAAAATCAAGACGCAAGCATGAAAACTTTACTGTGTTCTACATACGTTGGGTTTCCAACCACCTCCCTAAAGTACATTGTCTGTTACTGACAGCAAATGGCAATACTCATTTAGTCAAATCTGCCAAATTTATCATTACTATTGGTCTCAATACTAAAAAAAAGCCTTTGTTTTTCACTGAATCTACGTCCCACTTACCATCACTGTAACACATATTTTTACAACAAATGCTTCCAGCCGTTTAAAGACTTTCGAGAGTTCGGTGCCTGAACTTGAGTCAATGGGAAAATATTGATCACGTTCAGCAGAGCCCAACAGATCATTCAGCAGGCACTTTATGTAATCAATTTTCCACTGTCCATCCAATACTTTACATTTTTTGCACTGATGCAGTAATGTTTCACTGCTTTTTTTTTTGTTCACCTTCATAATGTCCAGGGTTAAACATTAAGCGCGCTGATGCAGTTCAGAAATGGCCAGACAGAATAAACAGCATCCACCTTTACTATAACTTAAATTCACTTCATGATCTTTACCTGCCTTGAATGCCAGGAAGAATTACCCTTCTCTCAAGTTAGTTTGTGAAGGAAAAGCTTGATGTTCAGGCATGATTCCCAAAGAAATTGTTTTCCTAAGCATCTTCACAATTTGGTAACTTGATGCTGGCCTCAAAGTGACAGCTGGGAATGAAGTAACAGATTTGCAGAACATTCAAAGCGTCAGCTGGTGACGCTGATGAGCTGCCTGCTTTTGGCTCCCGTCAAATTGAACATTACAGCTTTGCAAAGCTGGATGCGTCTTTGCATCCATAATTCATGTGTACTCAGTACTAGCGCACAACACCAGGAAGAAATAAATTACCATCTTTCTGCTTTGCAGTGATTTTCATAATGAAAATAAAAGATGCTGCACGCCATCAGGGAATCAGGCTATTTTTCACATTATGATGACCCATTGCCTCATGCAAGAACCTGGAAGACCCCAAGATATAACAGTAAGCAAGATAGATGTCCAAGTTGTCAGTCAGATATCAAGACATGAATCCAACAGGCTTTGTGGAAGGATTATGTTCAACCATATTCCACTGAGCTCATGTAAAAGAGTTTTTAATGTAAAACGGTATGAAATACACAGGAATTCAGGGGCACGGGACATTCAACGGTTCAAACAGAGAGACAAAAGGAGACGATGTTTTAATAGCGACCCTAATTCTTCCACTATTCAGTTCATCATTATTTAGCTCATCAGCATCGAAAACCACACATTCACCCGACTTCAGGCTTCAAGAATGCAGCCATCGACGGAAGCTGTAGGTGCAAAGATTAACTTTTCACGAAAATTCAGTGCTGACCTTGAAGTGTTTTGCATCTGAAATCATGCCAAGGGGAGCAGCAGAAAACCCTTCACGTCAGTGTCATGCCCAACGCTCAACTTACCTGCCAAGCAGCAAATGAATGACAATGCAAAAAAATGACTCAACAGGAACCACATTCTCATTTCTAGTTCAAAGCGATGGCATTAATTCCAAGGCGAGGTTGCGGGGGAGGGGGCGAATTTTGCTCTGGTTGTCTCAGTTGATCGTTCGCCAGTACACCTGCAAAATGACACAAAGCATAAAATAAGCACCAATATTGTCACAGGTCTAAGAAATATTCTCATGACTCAAGTTATTTTAAATCGCAGCCGAATCAAAAGAAATGCAGTCATGAGAAAGGTCATTTGAACAATTTAATCTTATTCTTCTCATTAAAACACATCCATACGGCGTATCAACTCCCCCTTCAAAACCCATCTCTACAGTAGATCAATCGTCCCAACACAACACATTCCTACACAACACCAAAGAAGTGTGAGCTGATACATTTTGCCACAAAACAAAGTGGAGACACAATATAAAGGAAGGGGTACTATTCTTTAGGTGTGCACGAGCGATGAGACCTGAGTGTACTTGTTCATTAATCATTAATGGTGGCAGGACAGGTTGGGTGAGGTTTTAACAAAGCATAGAGTATTCTGGGTTTAATACAACGTAGAATACAACAGCAAGGAAGTTATGAAGAACTTACATAAGATCTCAGCTGCAGCATTGTCTACAGTTCTAGGTTATAGGCAGGATGTGAATGCATTGGAGACAATGCAGAAGTGGTTTACAGCAATGAGAAACTTCAATTATGATTGGAGAAGTTGAGACTGTTCTCCTTGGAGAACTGACTAAGGCAAGATCTGATAGACATATGAGCAGGATGGGTAGTATGGATTGGGAGAGACTGTTCCTGATGATAAAAGGATCAAGAGTTATATACTAGGTATTGCCTTTCGGTAAAACAAACCAGGGAAGGACTTATTCAATTAAAAATAGGGCCTCAGATAGTGTTGTAGTACAAAGAGAGTTAAGGGTTCAGGTACATCATCCTTGGAAGTTTGCACCACAGGTAGACAGGGAGATGAAGAATGTGTGCAGCACCCTTGTCATTCATTGCTTAGTGCTTTGAGTATAGGAGTTGGGACGTCACGTTGAGGTTGTACAGGATGTTGCTGAGGTCTCTTCTGGAGTACTGTGTCCAGTTCTGGTCGCCCTGTTATAGGAAGGATATTATTAAACTGGACAGGGTTCAGAAAAGATTTACCACAAAGTTGCTGGGAATGAAGGGTTTAAGTTATAAGGAGAAGCTGGATAGGTTGAGACATTTTTCACCCTAGGTGGTTGAGGGGTGACCTTATAGAGGTTTATAAAATCATGAGGGATATAGATAAGATGAATAGTAGATGTCTTTCCCTAGGGTTGGGGATTTCAAAACGAGGGGGCTTATTTTTAAGGTGAAAGGAGAAAGATTTAAAAAAGATATGAGGGGCAATTTTTTTTACACATGAGTGGGTCGCGCGTGAAATGAACTTGCAGAGGAAGTGGAGGATGCAGGAATAGTTACAACGTTTAAAAGACAATTGGATAGGTACATGAATAAGCAAGGTTTGGAGGGATACGGGCCAGGAGCAGGCAGGTGAGGCGAGTTTAGTTTGGGATTATGGTCGGCATGGATAGGTTGGACCTCAGGGTCTGTTTCTGTGCTGTATGACTCTATGACTCTGTAACAAGCAGATACAGATTTAAAGTGAACTGTAAAAGAAACAAAGTTAATAAGAAAAAAAACATTTTCACATTGATATTTAGGGTCTGGGATGCACTGTAAGTGCACTGGAGGAAGATTCAATTAAGACATTCCACAAGGGTATGAGATAATTATTTAAAAGGAAACAATGGGCAGGGTTAGAGGGAAAGGATAGGCAATAGACACCCTAAGTCAAAATGCTCAGACAGCCAATGCAGACACTCTGCGCTAAATGGCCTCCTTCTACACTGTCACAATTCTGTGGTTTGGTGACATTGCAACCAAACCCTCTGGAACACGAACTCTTTCAATTCTGCTGAAACTGCTCAAAATGCTAGGATCATCCATTGGTAACACAGGCAGAGTACTGACCACACTCAACCAGCCTGTCCTTGCAAAACTCAAAATTTAGTCTCTAGCAATTGATGTGTTTTTGTAATTAAGCGTAACTTGTGAAACAATCCCAACTGTGCCATGAGTTACATTAAGGACAACAATTTAACTCGATCAGAGATAACAAGGTGTAGAACTGGATGAACACAGCAGGCCAAGCAGCATCAGAGGAGCAGGAAGGCTGACGTTTCGGGCCTAGACACTTCTTCAGCTGCTTGGCCTGCTGTGTTCATCCAGCTCTACACCTTGTTATCTCAGATTCTCCAGCATCTGCAGTTCCTACTATCTCTGAATTTAACTTGATCAATCAGGTTCGCAGCTTTGCTCACAGGTGCATATCACAGGACAGCACCTTGTCCTTGGCAAACAGAAGGAATATATCAACACAATGCACCCTTTTTCACTCAAAAAGGGGGACAGCCTCATGCATCCTCTGTGTTAATGCCTTGACCAATCAAGGTTAACTTGTCTGGTTTGAATTAAACCAATGATGAGAAGTTAACTGTTCGCTGGTGTGTTCTCCAATGTCAGTATTCCATCCAATCGGAGTCCACTTGCCAATCAAACAAGTGCCTTCTTCTCATGCAGCATAAATTATTGTTTCCTTTGGGATTCAGCATTCTTGTAAATCTGTCCTGATGAGTACACACTGAGAAGTTTGAATGGAAGTTTTTATAGCAATACACCTTCTGTCTTTGCTAACTATTATCCCCAACTCTAACCTCTCTTTCCTTTCCAAAATCCTTGAACGTTCTGATACCCACTTTCCTGGAACGTAAGCAGTTGTGGAACACTCCTGGATCAGCCAACCAATTTTTACCTCCTGTTAATGTGAGATTGTCCAAACCTCTAGTGCCTATGTTCTTAGTCACACCAAATTCCATTCGCCTATAACCACTCTGCTCAAAGACCTGCACTAGCACCTAGTTAAACAATGCTTCAATGTTAAAATTCTCAGCTCCTTTTTCCCCCAAATCTCCATGTGGCCTCTGCCCTCTGTTTTTCTGTCGTTTCCTTCAGCTCCCCACTACAAATATATCTGCAGTCTCCAAATTCTGGACACCTGATCTGATACCTCCAAATGTAATCCTATCACATTGGCAGCTGTGCTAAGCTCTCACATTCTCTTCCCAAGCTTATCTGCATTTCTTCCTTCCTTTTGTCTTTAAAGATGCTGCTTAAAACCTTTTTGTGCTTTGGCTAAGCTTTTGGACATTTGTCCTGAAATCTTCTCATGCAGCTTGACGCCAAATTTTTGTTTGGCAGCACACATGTTTTTTACTGCATCGTAAATGCCAGATAAATAAGGGCAGTACTCTGGAAAAGAACAAACAGAAACAGAAGTATAATACCTTGGTCCACCATTTAATAAATTCATGGCTGTACCATCCTGCTTTATCCTACATCCCTTCATTCCACTAATCTGCTCATCTCTGTTGTGAATATATTCAAACAGCTGAATATCTAGGTTTGAGAATCTGATAGATTCATGATGTTTTGAATGAAGGAGTTTCTCCTCACCACAGTTCAAAACGGCTGACCCATTATTTCAAAAGTAACATGCCATATTCCTGACTTACCTGCCGGGGGGAAAAGTCTACTCACAAATGGGGAATTCTCCAAATGTCATTATTCTAATAATGGAACATTGGCCTGGTCTCTCCACATTAAAGATGCCCACACACTTCAGAAATCAGCCTTTTGAACCTTCATTGCTACTGTCCTCAAAATCAAAAATGTCCTTCCCTAGGTAAGGAGATCAAAATTGGCTGCAGACTACTGGTCTCACCTAGGCCTTACATAAGTGTGATGAGATTTCTTTACCGTTACAGTCTGACCTCTTCATAATTAAGGCTGACACACCATTTATTTTCCTAAGTGTCTCCTGTACCTGAACGTTAATTTCCGGAGATTCATGTACAAGCCAGTCAATTAAGTCTCTTTGAAAACGAATATTTCCCAGTACTCATAATTTCCAAGTCTAATTTGGTTTTCTATTTTTCACTCAAAAAGTGGAAATTTTAGAACTTCGCTACTTCATCCGCCATATTGTGGTCAATTCATTTAACATGTCAATATCGCTTTGCACCTACTTTACATGACAATATCGCTTTGCACCTGCTTTACATTCTTCTCACAGCTCACTTGTCTTTCTGACTTTGTATTACCAACAAACCTGCATACAACAAACCTGGACCCCTCATCTAAACAAATGGCATAGACTGGAAAAGGTTCCTTCTCTCCATGAACAACGAGATTGTGGGACACGACCTTCCAATCCAAGGAGACTATTCTTGAATCTTGAAAACCTGTCGCTGCACTTTAAAAGTAGAATATAGGCCATCTCGTGCAGGGAATTTGTCATATTTCATCCCTCCCTTTAAATTCTCTAGTTCTGTTTCTTCACGTTTCTCATTCCCATTGGACTCTTTGATCCCCACTATCTTTCAACTTTTTTTGTTCATCTGCTTTCACGCTGGAGAACAAAGAGCTGAAGGTGGTTGGCTCAAAGATGGGAGCACTGGCAATTCAGTGCTATCAGCTGGTGTAGAAATCCACGAGTACATTCCTGCTTCCAGTCAATTTTAAGGAAAGTTGCAACCAGGAGTTCCTCCCACTCTCTCAGTGGCAAATCGAAAGTGCCCACATGGGCTTTACTTACTCACCATGTACAAAGTGCCAGACCACACATGCATTTGAAACCTATACAGATGGATGGTGCTGTGAAGTTAGGTAGGGTACTTGTGGAGTGGGAAGCACGAAGTTAGAATTTGGTGTTTGTCAAATGCTAGGCGGGGGGAAGCATTGTGTGGTCCCTTTAAAAGATCATGTGCTTTTTCTGTGCTTAGAGATTTAAAATAGATGTCAGTGAGCAGCAACACAAAAGTTTGCAAGTACACAGACAGCACCCAAATTGAAATATTTTATCAAAGGGCCAGAGAGTTAGCAGGCCAAGCAGCAGTTTCTACCAAGGCAACACGTTTATGAATTTAGCCAATCAATTTGAACCACGCACTTAGATACCAAAAACCTATTAAATTTAAAATCAGGTAGTTTTGACGACATAGGACCAATCTTATTGTAAGAACTATTG